ACAACTTTAAAGGTGATTTTCTCAATATTTAGATCACCCTCAACCCTCAGATTTCAGATATTCAAATAGTTGTATCTTGGCCAAATATTGTCCTACCCTAACACGTCAGTGGGCCAGCTGCAGCCAGACCCTTTTGGCGATTTCGGAGTCGGACACAGAGCGAGTGTTAATCCAGAACTCAGGATCGAGGTCACGTGTTGAAACTCATCCAATTAAAAAAGTGTTGGGAACATGAGTCAGACAAGTTTAGAAGTTTTGGAAGGATAGCAGAAGAAGAAGCCCAGTCATGTGGAATAATAAATGTAGAAATGAGCCCTGCAGTAGTAGTGTCACCCATTTCACCTTGGTTATTCCCTTTACCATTAGTAGACTTTAATTTGCAAGAAATTATTAATGACAAAAATAGAGTAATAGCAAAAGATGTTATGGTTAAACTGTATCTAGAACACTTGGGGTTGAAAGAGTTAATTTTGGTAGTAGAAGAGAAGATACAATTATTACCAGACTTGGCATTGGCCATACTGCTTTAAATTCTTCTCTATATAAAACGAATAAGCATGAGTCTGGGAACTGTAGTCTGCGTGGATTACCAGAAACAGTAGCATGCACTTTTACGTTGTTCTGCTTATGATAATGAAAGAGCATTTCTGTTGGAAGAATTAAAAGAAATAGGGATAGAAAATATTACACTTAAAACTTTGTTGAATAATGGCTTGAATCATTATAAAATATATAATGCTTTAATGACATTCATTTAAAAAAGTAGATCTGTTTAACAGGATTTAGAAGGGTTAAATTTTTTATTTAAAAAAAATGTTTTTATTATTTATTTATTTTATTTAGTTCTTCCTAGTCCATCAATGGTCCACACTCCAGCCCAGTAGGTGGCGGGAATGCACCTATCGTTTGTTTGCTAACCGCCATAAAACTCCAAAAGAAGAAGAAGAAGAAGAAGAAGAAGACGTCACTGTTTACAAAATTCACGTTTTTGTTATTTTCAATTAAATGATAACGGTACCTTTTACTTGCGCTCTGAAACCCGTTTTCAAAAGCTTGCCTTTTTTAGGCCCCAAAACGCCGACCGCGGTTGTCGTGTAAATGAACAGGCAAAACGCAGTTTTCCGCTTTTAGTTGCAGACAGTTTCGTGGAATCGGCCCCTCAGTGAAGTGAGTCCACGGTGTTTTGAATATTCACTGATTTATAAAAGAATTTAAGTAACATTTCGCTTCTGTATTGGTCTCATTGCCGTGATTTGGGTGTCTTTACTGGTGACTGAAATAAACATTAGCTTAGCGGCAATGTAAGGAAGAAGCTAATGTGAAAATCACTGAGACCTGAGCGGATTTTATAGTTTTTCTAGGTTGGTGTGAATCGTCGTTTCGATGTTTTGACGCGATTATGTCAAGAGTCAATGTAGGAACGATATCCAGCAGTGCTGCGGGACAGCAGCAGTGCTTTTCTTCTCTTCTGACATAACTTATCCTGACTCAAATAATCTGTCTCTACCGCAAACACTTACAATACAGTCACTTCTTCAGATGATCATGCAAGGCTTGATTTAGGATTGTCTCTGTTATTTCAAGGCAAGATGTTCCCCTTATGCTGATGTCTTCAGATCACCTGTAAACTTCCACTTAAAGGCACAATATGTAAGATTTTTCGATTAAAATATCCTAAAATCACTAGAACAGTGTTATATATTTTGTTGACTTGTGGATTTACATTATCTCAAATGTTTCCAAGAATGTTTTGAAATTGTTGCTTTGTTTATTTTAAAATATTGCTTTGTTGTGCTCTTTCATTTTAAAGAAAGAGCAGTTTCTGTCCCTAGAAAGAAAGAAAAAACAAGTTGATTATCTTTTTTTTTTATGCAAGGACTGTAGTTGTAAATTGAACTTTCATGTACTTTCATATGGACATATGCTGCTGTGTGGTAGTTATTTAACTGTGGTTAATGAAACAGAACTGAACTCCCTGATAAGACTTATTAAAAGGGAGTGTCACAAAAGCCTCTTCATGTCAAAAATAATAATGTTAGGATTATTCCACAGACAAAAGATAAATACTTAAAATATGGAAATTTGTTTTAAAACAAACTAAATAGCCTAACATTAAATTTCGATTGTTAGATAGAAAAACACAAAAGCCTTGCTTGAAGTGTGTGAATTAAGCATCCATATTGATCACTGATATGTTTTTGATTTTAGGAGATCTGCTTCTCCAACCACACAGCAATTCACCTTTAGTGAAGCTCCTCCCACAGCGATTCACCAGTAAATGCTGGAATATTTTCATCAGCCTACAAGTGAAGACAGACTTTATTAAAGAAAGTCGAAAACATGACTGATCCAGAACCCTGCAGAATAAAACAGGAAGACACTGAAGAAAAAATAGGTTGGTGTATATTCTTGCTTCTTCACTAAGGTTATAAAACTTAAAGCAGTTCATCAGATTCAGTGGCTGCAGTTAGAAAAATCATAAAGCTGTGAAATAACATCTAAAGCTGCAGTACAGAAAAGACGTGAATTTACAAGTTACAGTGGTACATTGTTTTGTTGATTACATTGAGTTGAGGCTGAGCTATTCAGCAGATTCAGCATGGATGAATATGATGGATTGAGGCGTACATGTGCCTGTGGTTAAAGGCATTCTGTTTTTGTTTTGTTTTTTTGTCACTAACGCCATCAAAACTCACCCCTCCTAAATGAAAAGAAATACTGTTAAAAAATAAATAAATAAAAATAAAAGAATAAAATGAGCCAGTTTTTTTTTTAAACAGTTGTTTTAAAATAACATCACAAAAGTTAGGTAATGCTGACATTTGAGATAACATTTGCTAGATATACAATTTATAATACAACAAATACATTTGTTTGTTTGTTTTTACTTGAAATCTTCTGTTTACAAAAAAACTAATGATAGGTAATTTTGCTTTGGAACCTTCAGAAAACTTCAACTCGATTTTCTCAAAACTTACTTTGCTGACTCTACAGTCATGGCCAAAAGTTTTGGGAGTGACAAATTTTGTGGTTTGCAAAGTTTGCAGCTTCAGCTGTTGTGGTGTTCATTCACATTGTTTCTAGATTATTGTGTAGAGTGATCATATGCATTTTAAATAATTGCTAAAAGCTTCATTGGCCACAAAAAAATTTAAAAAAAGAACTTTTGACAAAAAAAAAAAAATTCACTGTTTTTTGATCATGACACAAAATGACCAGCTAACATTAATTGACTAATCATATTAGCAGCACATGTGAAAGTGTGAATGAGTACTAGTCAGGTTAATCACTATCATACTAATTAAATTGTAAGAGCAGACTGATAGCTATAAAAGGAGGGAAGAAGCACTTCCAATCATTGTGTTCTTGTTAGCAATGGTTACCTCCAAAGAAACACGTGCAGCCATCATCGCTTTGCATCAAAATGACCTTACATGCAAGAAAATTGCTACAAAGAATATTGCACCTGAAAGAACCATTTACCGGATCATCA